CTCTTCTAATGCCTTCAAATTGCTGCTTCATCTTATTCCCCACATTGATATAGTCAAAATCTCCATTTGTATGCAAAGTATCAAATAAAGCTTGATCTTTACAAATATGGACATCGGTAGCAGAATCCATCACCCAATTAGAATTCTCAACATGATTTGTATTTAAAAGAAGTAAATCACCTTCATAACTGACCACGTTCGTAGAGTTCTCAACTTTCGACTTACCCTTCAAATTTCTCAGACTTCTCAAGTCTTCTTTAAAAAGTCGATAGTGATTTTGAATATGACCAAGCTCTCCACAATAATGACACTCAATAGAGTTGTCATCTCTCGGCCGAGGTTTCTATCTTCCACCACGGTCACTCTTCATTTTCCTCCCTCTTTCAGAACTCCCCACAGCTAGTAGTTTACTCTCATTTGAAGCGTCTTCATTTCTCATTATCTTGTCATTCTCCTTCAAAACCATTATTGTCTCGTTCAATTTCAATGTAGTTTTCTCAACTAACATTGATTGCACCAACGGCTTGTAGGATTTGGGCAATTAAGCTAACAAGAGCAACACTTGCTTTTCCTCTTTAATTTTCTCTCCTGCATTCAACAGTCGACATAGTAGCTCATTAAACTTGTTAGTATGGTCAATTATATTACCTCCTTCCTCCATCTTCAAAGAGTATAGACCCATCTTCATAATCAGGTGGTTAGTCAACGTCTTCGTGGCAAATTTACTCTCCAAAGTATCCCACAACCTCTTCGGTGATGTTTCCGTCAACACGGTAACCTTTATCTGCGGGGTGAGTGTCAATCGAATCGTGCTAACAGCTTTTTTTCGAATCATACTCCAATCACCTTATTTCATACCTTTTGGTTTTGCATCTTCCAAGGCAACATCAAGAGCTTGCTGCACCAAATAGTCTTGAATTGTGTTTTTCTACATAGTAAAATCACTATTTCCATCAAAGAGCGGAACCTCACGTTACAAAATAGTGGACATAGTGATTAATAGCTCTCCAATAAACAAGCACTTCCAACAACCAAATAAAATGAGGCTAAAAATTAAAGCCAGGAACTCAAATCAAGCAGAACTGACATTTCTGGAAAAAATCTAGTGTGTTGCCGGAACCTGCTACGGAACTGCAACCTGAACTGCTGACGTGCCATCAAATTCTCTCGAAACACCTCTTACTCATTCTCTCCTCTCTTTGCCAAGACCTCGTTCAAAAATGACCTCGCTTTGATACCGCTTGTTGGGAACACACAAGGGAAAAATAACAAGACACGAGAATTTAACGTGGTTCGGTCTCACAACAGACCTACATCCACGATCCCAAAATGGGATAATTACTAAAATATTTATTATAATTTTTGCACGGACAAAATTGTAAAACCCTCCTCATAACAACTCACCAAATCTCAATTTCACTCTCTCTAGTTACTAAAGAAAAAATGTTTGTTGTCATATCTTAAAATAGGACCCAAGGGGATCAATTTATAGGAGCCAATGCCTCCACCTCATTATCACACTTTCAATGTGGGACATAGGAAGTTACACAACACTTCCTTGTTCTCAATGATAGATTTTATCTTCAAAATTTTCTCAACCTTCTTTTCCTCATCCCTATCCTCGTCGAGGAGCGCTTTGGCTTCGTCTTTATTGAGTTGACCCACCTTGATCCTTTTTATTTTGGGAGGTTCAACAGATGCTATAAACATAAATCAATATGATTAATGGCAACAATTAATTGCATGCATGGGTAGCTTTTAGCAAGTGCAAAAAGAGTAACTGCTCAGGGCCCATAATTTTGGAAGGCCATATATGTATATTTTTCATAATTATTCAATTCAATTTTAATTCTAAAGTTAAAATTTAAACCTTAATGAAATATTTTTCCAATTCTTCTTTCTAACCATGCCTACTATCTTTCTAAATTGCAAATCCAATCATCGTCCATCCACCAAGAGATTTTTTTTAATGAATGATGCATTTATAGTTCATAGTTATTATTATTATTATTATTATTATTATTATTGGATTATTATTTTTATAATGGTCAAAATATTATTTATTTTCGACTGATGATAGATTTTGTACGTATGACTCTTTATTGAATATATAATTAAAATAATTTTTTATTTTGTGTGGTTAATTTTTACATTTATCAGTGATATTATTTTGAAAAATACATTGATTGTATATTTATTGGCCCACAATTTAGTTTTTGCTCAGGGCCATAAAAAAGTTCGAGACGGCCCTGATTACATGTAAAGATATCTAAAGTTTTATAGAAGAAAAAGCAAAGCAATCTGTCCAAGAATTGATTAAGAATTAACAAACGAAATAAATGGGAGATATGAATGAAATCCGGAATGGGAAAAAAGATATTTAGAGTGAGAGAAATCCTAAATATTCCTCAAAACTGAAGAAAACACAAGCAACCCGTTGATACAATTAAGATCTATCTCTCTCTTATACACTCTCTGAGGATTGGGAGATCAAACACTAAATTTTCTCCGCAGCCCGGTGCTCTTTTACTTCTGGGATGTTCTCTACCGACCCTACCTGTTCATCACCAAAAGATATATGTATTATATACATATATAATAAATATTGATGTGATATTTTGAATTTCAAATAAATTTTATGTATAATAAATTAGATACTCCCTCCGTCCATTACAAATAGGTCATTTGGGTGTGGCACAAAAATTAAAAAAATGAATAGTTTATTAAAAAGTGATAAAGTAAAGAAGTAGTTGATATTTTTGAAAATTTAATTTATAATTAATGGCGATAAAGACATAGAAAGTAATAAAAGTAGTATCAATTGTAATATATATACACTTTTGACACTATTCATCGTATTTTTATTTTCATTTTGCATCAAATACTTAGTTTCACTATCAAATATACTTTTTTAGTATTTTCAAAGTCTTCTAAAACTCAAGTGGCCTTCATCAAGATATAATCAATTTTGCACTGACCTACTACACTTTTTGTCACACAAATAATGCTAATCTCGTCAGGAACTACCAAAAAAACAACTCTTTCTGAATTTGACGATTCCTGTTCAAGTTAAGCAACCTATGACAAGTGAGATTCTTGAGAAGCACCCAATTTACATTATCTGGGAAAATTTGATTGAAAAAAATAAAAATTAAATTACTTACAAAGATGATGGACAATTTTACCCGGAGTAGAGCATAAACCTAAAAAAATGAAATAGGCCCATTCAGGAACAAGAAAACACCAGAGTTTGATTCATTCTTGGGAGGGTGTTTTCAGTCCTGGGATAATGTTTGTCAAAAGGGTCTTATGGCCCCTAGATATTCAGTCTAATACCCAGGCGAGGATTTGCGCTTTTATGACCGGTTTGGTCTTTGATCAATTGGCTACTTGGAAGAGAACTACTAGAAATAATTCTAATGTGCTGGAATATATATATATGTAGTATTTTAATTTACAATATAATATGTATTGCACGTTTTATTTTCAGTTTTAAGTGGATTTGTTTCTTGTTTGGAGTATGTAAGTTCTTTCTGCAGTTTTTTCTTTTCATCGTATAACAATGAGACAAGAAAGTTTTCTTCTTCTTTTTTAACTTTTCTTTGCCCCAATTTTTTTGTTCTGAATTTTGTCAATTCTAGTTGCAACACTTGGTATCAGAGCTTGGTTGATGCCCAAATATGTCAGATTTAAGGTAAAGAAGGCAGCATTGTCCTTTTTCCATTGTCCCATGTTAACCTCGACGAATTATACTATCTGGGAAATTAAGATGGAAACCATGATGGATGCTCAAGGGATTTGGGAGTCCATCGAACCACCGGCCGGAGTGACTGTGGATGATAAGAAGAGCAAGGCTTCTTGGGCTTTTAACTTCCAGGCAATTCCAGAGGACATTCTCTTGCAAGTGTCAAAAAAAAAAAGACAACGTCAGAAGTTTGGGACGGACTAAAATTTATGTATATATCTGGGAGACGATCGAAGGCATAAGACAAGATTGCATACGTTGAAGGGTGATTTTGAAAGGTTATGAATGGTTGATGGGGAAACGGTAGATGATTTTGCTAGAAAATTAAATGGTATGACATCTAAATTCAGTAGCCTAGGTGCTACACTTGAAGACATTGCACTTGTTCGGAAACTATTTGATTTAGTTCTTGACAAGTATCTTCAATTGGTTGCTTCAATTACACAATATTCAGACATAGATGCGATGCCATTCGAAGAAGCTGTTGATCCTCTCAATACTTATGAAGACCGATTGAAACTTTGAAGTGGAAGTGCGAGTAGTGAGGGGAGCTTAATGCTCACTAAAAATTACAACCAATCGTATCAGAAGACTTTGGAAGGAAGATCGCCATTGACTGGAAAAGGACGTGGTTTTTACCATAATGATAGAGATGGTCGGAATGCAGGAGGTCGTGGTAGCGGTGTCGGATGAGGCAGAAGTGGTCGTCGGAATTTCACACCATGTCAAGACTATGGAAATGACCAACATCGGGGTAGAGACAAACAACACATAAAATGCTTCAATTTTGAAAAATATGGACATTACGCGTTGGAATGTAAGTTTTAGAAGTAGAAAAACTAAGCCGATAATTTAACCCTGATTGAAGAGGAATAACCAACACTGCTTCTTAGTTTTGCTGGAGAAAGTTCAACCAAGTTTTTTTTGATTAATGAGGACAACCTGTATCAAAATCAGAATGAAGGACTTGATGTTGATTTGTGGTATTTAGACAATGGTGTAAGCAACCATATGACATGGAGAAGGGATCTTTTTGCTAAGCTTAAAGAGCAGATAACAGTATTCGGCTTGGCGATGGCTCCAAAGTTCAAATTAAAGGTAAGGGAACCATTTTATTAAATTGCAAAAATGGCGAGCAATAAATTATTTCAGAAGTTTACTATGTTCAAGCTCTACGGAGTAATATATTGAGTATGCGCAATTAACAAAACAAGGGTGTAAGATTGAAATGTTGAATAAAAACTTGAAGGTGCATGATTCATTCAGGACATTGATTATTAAGATACAACGGTCAACAAATCGTTTGCACAAGATTCATCTTCACACTGCTCAACCTGTGTGTTTAGCTAGTAGTCTTGACGATGAGGCATGGTTGTGGCATGCGAGGCTTGGCCATACTAGTTTTCAGAACATGGAATCGATGGTCGAACAAGATATAGTGCGTGGTGTGCCAAGAGCAAAATACCCTGCTCAGGTATGTGAGGGGTGCTTGGTAGCAAAACAGCCCCGTCATCTTTTTTCCAAGGAAGCTGAATATCATGCATCAAGCCCATTGGATTTAGTCCACGGAGATTTGTGTGGACCAATATCACCGCAAACATGGTTGGAAATCACTATTTTCTCTTGATCGTGGATGACTTGAGCAGGTTCATGTGGGTTTTTGTCATCAAAAGTAAAGATGAGGCGCTACTGGCATTTAAGAAGTTCAAGGCACAAGTCGATTCTGAAAGCATTAACAGGGTGAAAATGTTAAGGGCTGATCGTGGGGGTGAATTCACATCGTAGAGGTTCAATGAATTTTGTAACCTTTAAGGCATGAAAAGACAACTCACAGTGCCATACAGCCGACAACCGAACGGAGTGGTGGAGAGTCGTAACCAGACTGTATTTGAAATGACGCGATCGCTATTAAAGATAATGAAAGTACCAGAAAGTTTATGGGGAGAAGCAGTCCGTCATGCAATGTGGACTTAGGAGAGCTACGATACTTTCTTTGATTAGAGATGCGTAGTGCATCGAGAAGATGGTTAATCCAAAGAAGTTCTGAGGTAGCTGCTGCAAGACTGCAGTATTCGGCTTCGGTAGAACATCGCGAAACTGCCTGCTGCTTTTTAGTTTTCCAAGAAATTAAGGCACCACCAGGGAAGACACAACAACCACTTAAGGAGCGTCGACGTCGAGTAAAGAGACAATTACCCTAGTCAGAATCACAATAATTAGTCAGCTCCAAAGGACCACCAGCAGGAAAGAGCAAGCCACGGGAAGAAGTATTGTGCAGATATTGAAGAATGTGACAAGCAGGAAGCCAGTGATCCTCAGTAGGAGCATGCATGAACTGGCTAAGCTATTGCACAACATAACTGAGATCCGGACGAGAGAATCCAAGATAAAGAAGCTTTCCAACAATATTTTGGAAGAGTTGAGGTTGGGGAAAAAGATCCCATCTTTGTTCAGTGTCTCAATAGTGCCAAGAGGAGTGTGAGCATGATCATAAAAGGCACCTGAAATTCTTTAAGAATATCGTGAGTAAACTTAGATTGAGAGACAAGAATGCCATCAATACCTTGTTTTTCAAGTCCCAAGCAGTAAGAAGCAACACCAAGATCTTTAATAGTGAATTTGTGATGCAGAGCTTGTTTGATGGCAGCGATTTGCCTGTATCATTCCCTGCAATAAGAATTTCATCAACATAAATCACCAAAACCATAGGGCTCAATGCAGTGAAATCCACAAAAAGGCAATGATCAAAGGGCAGCTTTTGTAGTCCCAATGAAAAATGAAGGTAGTGAGAGTAAAGTTCCATTGGCGTGGGGTCTGCTTGAGGCCATAAATGGACTTCCTTAGCCGACAAACTTGATTAGAGGAGGCTGGTAGGCCAGGGGGACATGTCATGTACAGCTCTTCAGAGATATCACCATGTAGAAAGGCATTATTTACATCCAATTGATGTGAACTCCATTGCATAGATGTAGCCAAGGCTATAATCAGCCTGACTAAGACTTGCTTCGCCACATGAGCAAAAGATTCATGATAATCTTCCCCTAATTTCTGATGGTATCCCTTAGCCATAAGCATAGCTTTATATTTGAGAATAGAACCATCCAGATTGTGTTTGACCCGAAAGATCCACTTACACCCAATCAGTTTCTTGGAAGGAGGTAAGGTCACCAAGTCCCATTTATTATTTTGTGTCAGAACATCAAGTTCATCTGTCATGGCTTTATTCCAAGTTTTTTGATTGTTGATCCTCAGCAAAAGAACTAGGCAGAGGAGCATCCTGAGCCAAGCAACTATAATCCTAATATTTAGTAAGCAATCGTATAGAATGTTGTGGTCTAGTGGGCATTGACACAAGAGCATGAGGCATGGGGGAAGAAACAGGATCAGGCGAAGTGGAAGAAATGGAACAATGGGATTAAGTGTTGGATAAGGGTGGATTTGGAGAAAAAGGTTCAGAAACACATTCAGAGATAGGTAGGGTTAAGGAAGAGTGTGGGATATCAGTTATAGGAATTGAGGACAAAGGAATAGAGCTAGAGATTCGTAAGGGAGATTTAGGAGGGGAGTTATTTGACTGGAGTTAGGAAAGAGGCATAATGGAATCATAGAACACCATATCTCTAGTGATGTGTATTTTATTGATACAACAATCAAGAACCTTATAACCTTTATGAGGACTATTGTACCCCAAGAAGACACCTTTCAAACCCCTTGGATCTAGTTTACCTAGCTGAAGACGAGGAACTTTCAGAAAACACAAGCATCCAAAAACATGAAGCCGATTGAAATCAGGTGGGATGTTATATAAAATTTCATACGGAGTTTTCCAATTGAGGATAGGAATTGGAAGCCTATTAGTCAAATACACGGTTGTGAGGACAACCTCATTCCAAAAAAATTTGGATAAACCAGACTGGAGAAGTAAACACCTAGCAACCTGAGCAATGTCTTTGTGCTTTCTCTCAACCCTCCAATTTTCTTGTGGTGGTGTATACACACAACTTCTCTGATGAACTACCCCAAATTTAGTAAACAACTCTTGTCAGAAAATATTACAAAATTCAGAGCCATTGTCACTCTTAATTACTTTGACAAGTTTGGAAAACTAGGTGTGTACAAGAGTGAGGGAAACAGACAAAAAAATTGCAACTTCTGATTTATATTGCAACAAATAAATTCAAGTGGCACGGGAGCAATCATCAACAATAGTCAGCATATATTTACTGTTAGTGGTGCAAGGATGCAGGAAAGGTCCCCAAAGATCAATATGAATGAGATCAAACACATTTAAACCATGAGAAGAACTATTATTAAAATGAAGTTTATGAAATTTTGAAGTGAAACACACGGTACAATGATTGGAAGGAAAATTAGTAATATGCAAAGGTAGATGTTGCATGAAATTCCAAAATGAATGGCCTAATTGTTTATGCCATAATAAAGTATGATGTAAAGGATTAGAATAGGCAGTAAGCTTGGCATGCAAAAGAGTTAATTCAGTGTTCAGTTCCTGCAATTCACAACATGAGGCATCAAACTTGGCTATACACCTTTGATCAGTAGCTAATTTTCTGATAGACACAAGATTTAAAATAAAACCAGGAACATGGAGCACATTTTGTAGGGTAAGAGATGGATTTAGAACAACTGTTCCTGAGTGGGTAGAAAACTTAACAGTTCCATCTGGAAGATGGATGCTGAAAGATGAGATGAGAGGTTTAGGATCAATAAAGAATGATAAGGAAGAGCACAAATGGCAATAAGTGTAACACCCCGGCCGGCTCAAACCGGAGCGTCACCGCCACGCCACACCGGAAGGCTCGTTCATCAACCAACGAGTCCTACGTTGTGGCGCTAAGGCTTAAATAATAAATACCATCAACTAATAGAAACTTAGAATTAAAGTGCACCGGCTTATCAATTAAGTAAATAAAGTTTGAATCAAAAACATAAATTGGAAATAGTTCAAAATGCATTAGTCTTTAAACACAATCAATGAATTTCAAAACATTTTAGAAGGTAAGGTAGTTCTCATTTCCCCCAAGATGGATTATATGACGTGAATGCATCACTTAGACATAACGGAAGCATGATCACCTACAAAAAGAATCGTAAGAAGGGGGGTCAACACAATGATTGAGTAAGCGCAATTAATCAAGATAAATTAATACGATATAATGCCACAAAATCATTTGAAGAAAATAGTCGAATAAAATGACACGTATCACATAAGGGGAACTCACACACGAGTCTTTTAGCGCCTCCCTTATACCTCCTTTTCATTCTCAAATAATAGCGATGAGCACATCACGAAGAATACTCCACTAGGCCTTAATCAGGGCCGGCTCGACCCGGTTTTCCAACCTTATTACTTCGTATGACACGTCACATAATTTCACATAACAAAGATAGGGTCATAACCCTCAAAGGAAACTCCACAATGTGTACATAAGGGTTCGAAATCCAAAGTACACGTAAATCAATTTTTTATTAGTTGGCGAGGGGCGCCATACGGCCCACAACCCTCTAGTCTCCAATATAACATACCAAGAGGGGATTGTACGCAATTCATCCCTCCATCACGGATGACGGTCTAAAGACCTTTCCATCGTGAATGACGGGCACCTAAGAATCACCCAGAAAGGGAACCCGCCACCTCGATCCCTCGACCTAGCCCATTCGGGACCTAGTTCAAGGTTAGCTAGTTATCCTAAAATACCGGTATACCCTCACGTGTTTGCAAGGCACAGAGGTGGAAGGCTATGCCTTATCATCCAAACAATCGACGAGTTGATCGGACTCGACGGGTAGTTTCAATTACCAATTTGACCAAATACTCAACATGCTCTAAGGCAAATTTCAAAAAGAGTGTTTTAAACTTAAAATATTCCAATTGCCAACATTTAACCATGCAAAGTAGGATATTAGACCCAACAAGTTCGTTATAACACACTTTATTTCGCCAAATAAACATTCGAAAAATATTTCAATCACAATAGGCATGGTCTAATTCCAAGAATCATAATATTTAAATATAATTGTAAATCTTTTTCCAAAAACCATAACTAGGTTAGGGCAAAATTAGAGTTTCAAACTCATCCCATAAATTCCACAATTTTCAATTTAGAATCCAATAATAATCTTCACATAAACATTATAATCAACTTTCTAGAAGAAATTGGCAAAACCTAACACTTTTGGGCAAACCCATTTGACAAGAATATTGAAAAAGATATCAATAGAAGAGGTCTAGGGATTAAAACATATGAATCTATTTAAGATTAATCCCACTTACCTCAAGAAAAGAGACCAAAAGGAAGAATTTTGGAGAAGAAGAACTCCAAGGGAGAGCAGGGGACTGGCGGCGGCCCTAGCGGGCGTGCTGGCTGCTGCTGCTGTTCCTTCTTTTTTTTTATTATTTTATTCTTTTATTTAACATAATATACTTAGTCCTTTATTAATTATTTTATTCTACTTTTGGTCCAAACTGAATTTTTACTTTTAATTTAAACCCAACTCTTTAATTTATTACACTAAAAGATCCAAAATAAATTATGCCCAAAATGGAATTTGTCCGACTCTGGCAAACTTTCGGCAATTATTTTACGGGGTATTACAATAAGCTCCTGTGTCAAGTATCCACAAACTATCAGAGTGAGCAATGGCAAGTGGTCTACCTGAGTAACTAAAGGTTCCTGCAACATAGTCCACAGGAGATGATCCCGACGAGAGCATCAATTTCTTGAATATATCTTCAAACTCAGCTTTAGTTACAAACACAAACAATATTATTTTCTTTCTTCTTATCAAGGAAATCCTTATACCACTCCGGTTTACCATGAAGCTTGAAACACATCTCCTTAGTATGTCCAAGCCTTTTACAATAGGCATAAATAGAATATGTAGGCTTTTTCTTAAAGAGATTTTTAGGCACCGATCGAGTAGCAACAATAGGATCTGACAGAGCCATATCAGAGGCTATGGAGTTGGACTGAAGAACATCACGCTAAGACTCCATGTTGCATAACATAACATATGCCACACTCACAAAAGGTAAGGTATCAATTATAAGAATTTGGTAGCAAACATGCTCACAGGAAGGATTTAACCCCATCAACAGCTGAACTAATAACATTCGTTCATCTTTATTTTTCAATAATTGCATAACAGCATTTTCACAAGCTAGATGTAATGCGCGGAAGTCACTCCAGATAGATTTTAAGGAACCAAAGTAATCTGTAATAGAATTTTTACCTTGTGACAAATTTAAAAATTTCTTTTAAGCATAAGGCGTTGTGGTCCACTTGGGCGACCGAAGCGATCCTCAAGCTCCAACCACAAATTACGAGAAAAAGAGGTGTGAACAAAGGATCGAGCAATTTCAGGAATGATTGAGTTCTTAATCCACATAAGGACTAAATTATCAGCTCTCCTTCAGTAGCGGTATGATGGATCTGTTACCATCGATAAGTCCCTCTTTAAATTTGCAACTCAATGTTGTCTCTACTGCACTTTTCCATGAAATCCAATCGGAAGTATTCAGTTGGACAGTTACGAGAGCCAAACCTGGATGATCTCCAGCCAAAATAACAAATTCCTTACGAAGAACTGTAGTGGTCATTTGAGTAGCTGAATCTGCAGAAAAAGAGGTTTGTAAGGAAGAATAAGTTGTCGTAGGCACAACTATATGGATCGAATTGCTCTCATACTATATAACAACAAACTGCAAAAGAGAGAAAAAAGGAAAATCCAAAACCAGAACAAAAAATCTGTATATTGGTATTGAAGAAGTAAAGCACAGTAACCACCTAAAGCAAAATAAATACAAGAACGGGAAATTGGACTTTAATCCCTCTGCCCACAATTTTATTACGAGTCAGTCCCTTTATAAAAAATGTTAAACTGCAATCCTTACTTTTTGCTAAATGTTTGGACTAACTCCCTATTACTATTATTTGTCTTTTTTTACCCTTTTCTCATCCTCATCACTGTCTTTTATGTTTCAGTAGTTTATTTCCAACGTATTCAGATGCATCTTTCTATCATCGGTGAGATATCATTCTGGCGGAGGCCAAAGAGTTTTTTTTTTCTATTCTCTTTCTATTTCCTAGCAGTCATATTCTTCATATCTTTCACATAGAAAACACCTTTTTTTTTTTTTTTTTCTTTCCTCCCTGCTTTAACCTTAAGGTAAGAACGGTTTCTTGAATGAAGTATGGGAATTTGTCTATTTTGTATGTAATTGATTTCACTTCATCTTTAGGTAATTTATTTGATTTCGAATTCACACTTCTTTTTCTTTTTTCCTATGCACTTCATATGTTCGATAAAATGTCTCAAAGAAGGCATATTTGTTGTGCAACCTTAGATGGATTGAATTTGTCTATTTTCACCAATACGAAGTTAAGTTAAGCATGAATTGCTTTGCCGCAATTGTGCTACAACCCTATTACACTACAAGAAATTATCAATTGTGTAACGAGATTTTTTTGTTCCTAAATTCACTTTTTCTGTTACTAATGATATTAGAGACGGAATTAGAGATGGAATTACGTTAGCTACGTGAACTTTAGGAACAGAATTCCGTTA